AAAAGAACAATAATATTAATGATAATAATGATAATGATGATAAAGACAACAAAACAGTAATACCCACATAAAACTATTGAAAATATGAGAACAAATGGATTAAACCAACTTTTGAGGAAATTAAAAATTTTAGTTAACCACAGGTTGCTTTGACCAATTTTGCTTACAAAATTGATCTCGGGAACCTTCGGTAAAATAAAATTCCCTTAACTCCCCTGTAAAGTAGTTGTAAACAATTATTATTAATTCATCAGAAGTAATATAAACAAAATGCCAATAAGTAATACCATAAAGAAATAATACAATTAAAAAGTATTGAATATTAATAAAAGTATAGGAATAACATTATTAAAGCATTGATAAGTAAGCAGTAATTAATCACTATATTTATATATATATATTTATATACCACCCACATAACAAGAGTGCAAACACTGAGAAAAAGAATCAACTAGACCCAACCCTTCGCAAAATATCTAATTTTAACAAGAGAAAGATCGATAGCTCATTCATTTGTTATAAAACAAAGCTATAAGGGTATCATTGTGAATCAGACATTGTATCATTGTGAAGGAGGCTTACAATTCAATTTACAAAATGAATTTAATAAAACACAAAGAAAGGATTAAATAAAATAATTATAATTACTTTTGAAAACCTGGCACAAAACGTAGAAGATAATGTTCACCCAAATACAATTATCAGTGAAAAGCGGAAAATCAAATTTCCTGAATAAATTATTAAAAAATATAGTTCTTATGAATCTGACAATGTTCCTGATGAATTTAATGGACTATACGAATGCTGTTTTCAAATGTTTTTTATTTATTTCTACATTGTATGTAGACCCTGAAAAGAAATAACAAGGTTCCAGCTTACCATGTTGGTACGAAGGTGGAATATAACTAAATTCCCCCACCCCCTCAATACATGATTTCCCCATTTTACTCTTCTTTTCCCCCTATCCCCTCGGCATTTATAGTATAGGATTTTCTATTGATAAAACTTAGAAAGGTAAATGTGATTATGTAACAAAAAACTTTTTCGTAATCTAAAACATTCTTTGCCAAATATTATGTAAAATATACATACTGGGATACCCACAAAGATAAGACTGTAATAGCGACCTAAAACTCTTAAAATATAATGATATCATGGTTTAATTTGAGCTTTTGTAAGGGTCCCAGGAATCTTCCGTACGGTCTTCTCTCTCAACCTTTGTAGGAAACCCTTGATATAATAAACCACGATAGTGTTTCCGTACAGGAAAAGTATAAAGTTCAGCTCACCATTTTTGGATAGGTTTTGAACTATATTTACAGAATCCAACAGTTTTGGATAGGTTTTGAACTATATTCATAGAATCCAACAGTTTTGGATAGGTTTTGAACCATATTTATAGAATCCAACAGTTTTGGTTGAAAAAAAGTATTTTTAGGACTTTTTTAATGTGTTTTTTTGGATTACCTGTGTCTGATATAAATGAAAAAATGGCTAAAAATCAAGTTTTTATGTTTATTTATAAATTCTTTTTTCCTAAACTTAAAAGATTTAAAAGACAAGACTAGTAGAATAACTTTTTATTTCTGTCCCTTATAAAAATAATGCCGTTTGTTCTTTTTGTTAAAATGTTGGGATAAAAATAAAATTTGAGCTTGAAGAACTACACCGAAATAATATCAGCAGAGTATGGAAGACGAAATTCAAAACTATTTACCAACTGTCATGTTTCTTGGGACACCGTGTAGCTTCAGATTTGTGTTTATTCATCATTCTTAAATCCTGCTTAATCAGTGATAACATGTTTAAAACTTGGATAAAAGATAATAAATATTAATTTTAACTTTTTGCTTCATTTTATGGCTAAGGTTGATTATTTGGCATCGCTTTGTTTCGTACTTTCAGTTGTATAATCAAAATTTCTGCTTTTAAGCCATGCCATTCTTGGCGTACTCTACTGTTGAGTCCGGCCTTCGAAAGTGTTTCTTGTCTGTAAATCTTGTATTATACATCTAATCTAAAAAAATATGTTTGGTGCACATTTTATTTTTACTTTTTGTTGATGTTTTTTTTAGTGAAATAATTAGTTTCAGACATGTCAGACATTAGTGACAGAAGCAAAGAAATAACATTTTTCTCAATTTTTAAATCAAAGTAAGCACTTTTCATGATACATTATTAAACAATAAGATTTTGTACTTTATTCGGACCCATTTGGATCAGACATTCGACGCGTACTTGAAACTAAAAATTAAAATGGAGATGTAATCTTTAAATTATCCCAATAAATGCAAATTTTTATTTATTATTAATGTATGGAGGGGAGTAGTAATATGTATATTAACTTGTAAATCATTTCATTTGATTTATGAAACTTGGTAATATAAAGTTAAGTAGTTTTCAGATGACAATTGTATGATTTTTATTTTTTAAGTAAAACTAAACCGTTGATAACCAAGTAATTTCGTACACTGTAGTTTTTTTCAGCAAAGAAATTATTCGGGTCTAGGAAATAATGCAATTTAAAAAAAATGATATTTATGATTTCACGCAGATTTAACAGTTCGGTCCATTTCCTTCAATCACAATTTTACTAATTTAACATAAATTTTCAATTTTCTGCTTTTATATTTTATTCAAAAGTATTAAAAAGACAACTGTGTAAGTTTTAAGATTGCTAAATTTTAGACTAAAGCGCGATTGCATTAAGATTATAGAGACCAAACGCACCTTGACAGAATTAAACGCTTGAAATACAAAAGTCTACAACATCAGGCTGCAAAAATTGGAATTTATGACAAGCGTTTTAGTACCAGACATGGAAACGTTTAACAAAGTTTAATAAACCCTATGATTAAAAGTTTAATAAACCCTATGATTAAAAGTTTAATAAACCCTATGATTAAAAGTTTAATAAACCCTATGATTAAAAGTCTAATTTTGTTAAATTTAACAATCCTCTCCCTAAGCACAACATTCGCTCATTTATTGTTTTCCGGCTTTCCCCCTTACTATTTCCGACACAGAGTTGAAATACAAGGGATGTACAGGGACGCATCTTCAAATAAATCAAAAAAATTGCTCTATGATGAGAGTGTATAATAATATATTTTGCCAGCTCTATGGTGAGAGTGTGTATAATAATATCTTTTGCCAGCTCTATTGTGAGAGTGTGTATAGTACTCTATTTTGCCAACTCTATGGTGAGAGTATGTATAAAAATATATATTTTGGCAGCTCTATGGCGACAGTGCGTATTTTGCCAGTTCTATGGTGAGAGTGTGTATAGTATTCTATTTTGCCAGCTCTATGGTGAGAGTGTGTATACTATTCTATTTTGCCAGCTCTATGGCGAGCATATGAATAGAGTATACTCCTTGTGTTGGCTGACAGCCATCATTAAGTTTAGTACACAATGAACCTCAAGCCTTGTTATTTCTGTGGGCGGGCTGGTCAACTCCACTGTGGGGGGTGTGGTAAGGTATCTGCTTGCTGCTCCGCCCATCTAAATCTGCACAGGAGAGGGAAGGAGCCTTGTTTCCCCTGGGAGATCCTAGAGAAACCACTTGTTGGAAGATGTATGGTTACTTCTAGGTAATTATCTATCCTTCTTCTCCTACATCAAGGACCAAGCTATTATCTATCCTACTTCTCCTACATCTAGCTATTATATATCCTCTACTTCTCCTACATCTAGATATTAACTATCCTACTTATCCTACATCTAGATATTATCTATTCTACTTCTCCTACATCTAGATATTATCTATTCTACTTCTCCTACATCTAGGTATTAACTATCCTACTTCTCCTATATCTAGATATTAACTATCCTACTTATCCTACATCTAGATATTAATTATTCTACTTCTCCTACATCTAGGTATTATCTATCCTACTTCTCCTATATCTAGATATTAACTATTTTACTTCTCCTACATCTAGATATCAACTATCCTACTTCTCCTACATCTAGATATTATCTATCCTACTTCTCCTACATATAGCTATTATCTATTCTACTTCTCCTACATCTAGGTATTATCAATTCTACTTCTCATACATCTAGGTATTATCTATTCTACTTCTCCTACATCTAGATATTATCTATCCTCCTTCTCCTACGTCTAGATATTAACTATCCTACTTCTCCTATATCTAGATATTAACTATCCTACTTCTCTTACATCTAGATATTGACTATCCTACTTCTCCTATACCTAGAAATTATCTATCCTACTTCTCCTACATCTAGATATTAACTATCCTACTTCTCCTCTATCTAAATATTAACTATCCTGCTTCTCCTATATCTAGATATTAACTATCCTACTTCTCCTATATCTAGATATTAACTATCCTACTTCTCCTATATCTAGATATTAACTATCCTACTTCTCCTATATCTAGATATTAACTATCCTACTTCTCCTATATCTAGANTCTATCCTACTTATCCTATATCTAAATATTATCTATCCTACTTATCCTATATCTAAATATTATCTATCCTACTTATCCTATATCTAGATATTAACCATCCTACTTCTCCTATATCTAAATATTATCTATTCTACTCATCCTATATCTAAATATTATCTATCCTACTTGTCCTATATCTAGATTTTAACTATCCTACTTATCCTATATCTAAATATTATCTATCCTACTCCTCCTATATCTAAATATTATCTATCCCACTTCTCCAACATCTAGATATTAACTATCCTACTTCACCTACATATATATCCTATTTCTCTTGGTATTGTGCTGTGGCTTAAAAAATATTTTAGTTAACTCCAATTCCGCACAGCTCTCAACCGCCAATTTTCTGGTTTTGACAATCAAATATTTTCAGGAAAGTTTGTGCCGGAGAAACACTGTTTCAGGAGGAACCTGTTGTAATAGGTGAGTGAGCAGGGTCCAGAAACAAAAAAAGTTGGCTTAGCATTTTTTTGTAAAGGTTAAGATACATATCAGATGTCAGAATGTGAGACATTCATTAGTTATAGGACTTTATAAGGACTACTTTTATTCCGCTATATACTGGTGATGACTAATATATCCAGCTTTGTATTGTGAATAAAAATGAATCCTAGGTTTATATTTCAAACTTAAAAATAAATTAAACAGATAAATTTGTATTTAAAAACTAAATTGTTAACACTTGTGTGTTTAGGTCCAAATCAGGTGGGTTCACCCATCTGCCTCTCCTGTTATTCATCTATAGGTAGGAAAAATATATCAGAATGTTTCCAAGTACTCCGCTTAAGCTAAACCTCAGAACAACCGCGTTGAAGTTCTAGAACTTTTGGTTTTCAGGCACAACAGCAAAATTAAGTTAACAAGTAAAATTAAATAATGCCAGATTGTTAAGTGACACTTCAAAGTCGTCCAAGTCTTGAAAATTACTGTATAGTGTTCAAAGCTCTTTAGATCTCTGTAATATAATTACTCTTGTCCAATGTGTTTAAATCTAAGGTGAGGGGGATAATGTTCGTGTAAACATTTCAGTTTAATGTTTTGAGACAGCTGAAGACTCCTAGAGACACAATTATGGTCCCACCACCACGGTGCCATTTTCATTCCACCTGGTGGTCAAAATGGCAAACTCATGTTTGCTTAATTTTGAATAAATTCATGTGCGAATTAAATCTTTAAAAATATTTTAATTAAAAATAAGGCTGTTATCGCGCTATTCAAGAAAACATAAAAAATTATATTTCTTGAAACTGTATGCAGAATAATTTAAAAGGAATAGTTAGTGTTTTTCAAAAGTGCTGATTAGCGAACATTTTTTATATTGGATTCATGTTCATAATTTACAGTGTAGGTAGGCTGGGGCTGTGAAATAATTTTTTTAAAAGAAACAATAAAGTAGTTTTTGAGCAGTCCTTATATGTCATGTTAATTATATGCCATATCAACCTCACCTTTCGGTCTATATGCATTGCTTCAAGTCTGTAATTTGAGTCCTGTGTAAAAAGCCATAAGATGTCAGAAAACAAATTAAAAACTTTTTATGAAAAGTTATTAAGAAAAGTCACAAAGCTGATTAGGGGAGGAAAATTGGGGGCAAGTAAAAAATATTTTCCATCTTGTTTTAGTCAAAACTAAACAATCATCTGTTAGATTTAAATCTGTCTACATATTTAAATATATCAGATTTTTATCTATCAGAATTCCAGGTTTTATTTCCAGGTTCTTTTCCAGGTTTTATTTCCAAGTTATTTTACAGGTTTTATTTCCACGTTATTTTCCAGGTTTAATTTCCAGGTTTAATTTCCGGGTTTTATTTCCAGGTTTAATTTCCGGGTTTTAATTCCTGGTTTAATTTCCAGGTTTTATTTCCAGGTTTTATGTTTAAGTTATATTTCAAGGTTTTATACCAGGTTTTTTTTCCAGGTTATATTCCTAGGTTTTATTTCCAGGTTTTATTCCTGGTTTTATTTCCAGGTTATATTCCCAGGTTTTATTTCCAGGTTTTATTTCCAGGTTTTTCTTCAGAAGCTTTCTTAATGTTATGAATATTCTCTGATCTAGATCTGCAGTATAGATGTACATCTTGCCAGTACCCGCTCTGCGGACCAGACTGCCAAACCAGTTCTGTACATGCAGAGGAGTGTGCTGTACTGAGTAGAGGGGAGCCACCAGTTTTTCAGGTTTGGAATAGGAATAATCATGTACACTGTTCACTTTACCATGTAATATGTGCAAAGTGCAATGTACGTCGTAATCCAAAGATGTCGGAAAAGGCCAGTTTGGACCAAAAATGCTTTTAAAAATTGCCACATAATACACAAACTTACTTTTTTTTCGGAAAACAAATCAAATTCTCTTTTAAAATTTTTTGAATCTCCATATGAACTTTGGGACACGCTGTATTTTATTACATTTCTAATTTTTTAGGAAGAAAATACAGAAGCTTACCATTGCATTCTTCCACTTAGGTACTTTTAGATAATATCAATTATAATAATAATAATAATTTAATAATATTAAAAATAACAATAACAAAATTGTTAATAACGATAATGAAAATAATAATAATAATGATTGTAATTAACAATTTTGAAATTCCTTTCAAATTCATGGGGTTGGCAAATAAGTTCCTTGTTAGACTGGTATTGCTGAGCAGATCAAACCCGGATATATTCAACCTGACTGACCGGCTTATGGACCACGAGGAGGAGAGGTCACAAGGTTCATTTTTCTCTGTTAACATTTGATTGTTATTTGCATCGAAAAAAGATATTTCACCATATTTTTGAAGAAAGTTCTAAAAACTGTCATTGCTTTAAATTCCTGTCTTTTCTTTTGAAAAACTTTGGTTTTTTTTAATATAATCTGGTTCAGGGGAGGACTGGCAGATAACGGAAAGAACAGTTGTGAAGAATATTCTAGAGATCTGTAAAGGAGAGGAAATTGAGAAATTTACTATTCAAGAGGTACGTGCTCAGAACTGTATACATTTTGATTAATTTATTCTGTAACCTGTACCTGTACCTGTACCTGTACCTGTACCTGTACCTGTACCTGTACCTGTACCTGTACCTGTACCTGTACCTGTACCTCTACCTGTACCTGTACCTGTACCTGTACCTGTAGGTTCGCAGAGCTGTAGGAGTACTTGAAGTAAACAGCTACGAGGTTCACAGCTTTGTCAGGTAAAGTTACATAAAATTAATTTATTCTAATATTTATTATTTTCATTTTAAGCAAAGAAAACAAGACTCGCCTATTCTACCGCTTATTTTTGTACCCTTTGATACTTCTAATAACTAAATCCATTTATTGCAAATCGTACTTTTTTATCGTTTTTTCTTTCTGATTTTTGAATTTCAGGTGTGGATATCGTGGTTGTTTTCCAGCTGCAAGTTTACTTTCACATGGTTGTGTTGCAAACTCCAGGTACTTTAGTAATCTGCTACTAACTCCAGGTACTACACTATTCTACTACTACCTCCAGGTACTATGCTAATCTACTATACTAATCTACTTCTAACTCCGGGTACTATACTAATCTACTACTAACTCCGGGTACTATACTAATCTACTTCTAACTCCAGGTACTAAGCTAATCTACTACTAACCCCGGGTACTATACAAATCTACTACTAACCCCGGGTACTATACTAATATATTTCTAACTCCAAGTACTATACTAATCTACTTCTAATTCCAGGTACTATACTAATCTTTTACTAACTCCGGGTACTATACTAATCTACTTCTAACTCCAGGAACTATACTAATCTATTACTAACTCCAAGTACTATACTAATTTGCTATTACTAACTCCAGGTACTATACTAATATACTTCTAACTCCAGGTACTATACTAATCTACTACTAACCCCGGGTACTATACTAATCTATTTCTAACTTCAGGTACTTTACTAATCTATTACTAACTCCGAGTACTATACAAATCTACTTCTAACTCCAGGTACTATACTAATCTGCTACTAACTCCGGGTACTATACTAATCTTCTACTAACTCCGGGTACTATACTAATCTTCTACTAACTCCGGGTATTATACTAATCTATTTCTAACTCCAGGTACTATACTGTTTTTCTTTTGAAATCATATTTTTCCTATTTCAGACATATTTGGAGTACTACACCACCATACACAAATACATGCATAGGTAAATACTTCTTTTACCTAAAAATGTTTCAAAAAGAAAAAATAATCTTTCCTTGGTTTCCAGATGATTAAAATCTTGTTTGTTTTCAATCATTACAACTCCTCTTTCAGAAAAGCTATGGAGAAGAACACATCAGTTTTGTATTCCTAATATGTAACAGGAAACATTCTGTTTTCTCATACGTTTGCGGAAAATCAAATCTAGAGGAGCTATAAGGTCACAAATCAGCACCAGTAATGTTTATTGAATTTGACCTTCTCATTCTGTCTAGTTGACAGTGTAGCTGCTCTTTACCGTTGAAAAGTTGATCGTGAATAGTGAAGGGGAAGATAGTGGGGGGGGGGGGTAAGCACATGTTTTCATAGTCTGAAAAAGTTTATGTAAATATTAAATTTTCATAAACGAATCTTCGTGTGTAATTTTAGCCTAGTAGATTACTGAACCTAGAAAACTTATAATTAGATTGTCTGATTTAGATTTTAGAAGTTTAAAACCAGCATATTTTAAACTTTTAAAATGTTTTTATAGTAATTTTAAACATGGTGGAATATAACTCAGAATTCTCACAAGAATTCTAATTATTATGTACTTGATGAAACCATAATGACACAATCATTAACAGTCATAAAGTGTTGTTTTGTGAATCTAGGGATTAAGCATTTCCCGTATCTTGTGCAGTCAGACTAATTTCATGTTTGTCATATCCTGAAGGGATAGCATAAAGAGAGTGTTCGCGAAAAATTAAAGGAGTGTAGGCGGATAACGAATTGAATGCGATATCGATAACTACTAATTTTACTTCTATATATTGCCGATATAAGGAGTAAATGGTTAAAAACGACTCATGTCGAAGAGCTCAGGACCCACTCAAACAAATCCACGGAGTATCATTATTTTACCCAAACCGTAGATAATTAAATTAAATTTATAATTAAACATTCAGATATTAACAGTTATAAATGTCGATTTTAATTCGATGCATTCCAGCGTAGTTTAAATATCATAATCTTTTTAATTTTCTTTATATCAGATGTACTTGTAGAACGAATATTTGGCCGCTATAGACTCCACTACTCACGATATTTCAGGGATTTCACCTAGCGTCCTCAAAAGTACATAGTATGTTAAAAAAAAGATTATGATGTTCAAATTAAAATCTACAACTGATGTAAAAATGATCTAAACACAATTATGAACATGCAGAAAAAATGAGTCTTTGTCACAAACTCTGATTTCCATTCCAATGCTGTAGACCTAGGATATTTCAAACTATGAATTCTGGTAGAAAATATAATCTAATATTGAAAAATTAAAGGTTTACACCAAGGTTTATAAATATTGGGATTAGAAAATTTTATTTGTGGTTAAGACTCTATATCTTTATTTTCTATTGCAAGGTAAAACTTTAAAACTTTTGCATATTTCTAAACAAAAGAACTGAATTATTGTCTTAATATCCTGAAGGTTTTAAACTTAGATTATTTGATCTAACAGAATTCATAGCTTGAAGTATTTAAAGTATACAACATTGAGTTGCAAAGATATATGATTACAAAATCTGAGTTTGTGGCAAAAACTGGGTTCCTTGTAAACAACACCATGATTAAAAATTGAATTTTATTCCAGCAACTGTTGATCTAGAGAAAGGGGAGGAGATTATCACTAGTTATCATTTACCAACTACCTGCTCAATACTCAGGTAAACAGAGGGTCCAAATATACCAACTACCTGCTCAATACTCAGGTAAACAGAGGGTCCAAATATACCAACTACCTGCTCAATACTCAGGTAAACAGTGGGTCCAAATATACCAACTACCTGCTCAATACTCAGGTAAACAGAGGGTCCAAATATACTAACTACCTGCTCAACACTCAGGTAAACAGAGGGTGGCCAAATATACCAACTACCTGCTCAATACTCAGGTATACAGTGTCCAAATATACCAACTACCTGCTCAATACTCAGGTAAACAGAGGGTCCAAATATACCAACTACCTGCTCAATACTCAAGTAAACAGAGGGTCCAAATATACAAACTACCAGCTCAATACTCAGGTATACAGTGGGTCCAAATATACAAACTACCAGCTCAATACTCAGGTAAACAGAGGGTCCAAATATACCAACTACCTGCTCAATACTCAGGTATACAGAATGTCCAAATTTACCAACTACCTGCTAAATACTCAGGTAAACAAAGGGTCCAAATATACCAACTACCTGCTCAATACTCAGGTAAACAGAGGGTCCAAATATACCAACTACCTGCTCAATACTTAGGTAAACCGAGTGTCCAAATATACCAACTACCTGCTCAATACTGAGGTAAACAGAGGGTCCAAATATACCAACTACCTGCTCAATACTCAGGTATACAGAGTGTCCAAATATACCAACTACCTGCTCAATACTGAGGTAAACAGAGTGTCCAAATATACCAACTACCTGCTCAATACTGAGTTATACAGGGTGTCCAAATATACAATCTACCTGCTCAATACTCAGGTATAAACAGGATAAAATAAAAAAAAATCATTGAATTAAATTTGGGAAAAATTCCAATTATTATTATTATTATTATTAAGATTTCTTTTTACACACAAATATAAAATAATATAATATGGCGTAGGTACTTAAAAAAATGTTAAGATAAGTCAAATAAAATATCCTTCATTTTTTAAGATATTATCAGACAGACCACATACATCACTGAACTTAACAAGCGGTGCTGATTGTTCTGAGTATTACAAGTTTCAAGTATTGATTTCAAAAATCTCTACAAAAGGGACAATGTACATTCTTCTTCATGGGAAACAATGTACAGGAATTACCAGATTTAAACATTTTTAAATGTTTAAGACGATCTTTGACATATTATATCAGATAAAGGTTTCAAGGGTACCGTTGTGAATATACCCCTCTCTAAATGGATGGTTTCTTGAAAATACGTTAACAGTCCCTTTACAGGAAGATATGCAATATGGTACATAACTTAGTTTTAGAAACAACCTGGAGAATTAAAAAAGTTTCATCAATTTTTAAGACAGGATCGATTTTGAAGTGTAGCAACGCCATTGGATTTCATTTTACCCCTCTAACTCACTTATTCTTTCTGTACCCCTTTCAATACGATAAAGCACTTGCTTGAGACCTTGCAATCACAGTGTATTAGTTACAAAAGCATTTAAACTTTCCTTAAAATGTGCCAAAGTGAATAAAGCTAAAAGTGTAGCTTATAAAAAGGTGTTTAAAAATATTCCTTCTGTTAAAATATTGTATTTTCAGACGTCCTAAACTGCTGGCAGGTTGGTATTTCGAATGCAATTGCAAGAGGTGAGAACCACGATAAAACTGTTTTAAAGCAACTAAGTTTATGCCGCAAACTGGAATTTTTCCATCCCTAAATCTTTGCAACCCAATGTCAGAGATCTTAGATATTTAAAGCTAGGGATTCTGTGAAATTAAATTATATAAGTTTAAAATATAAAATGTTTACACCATCAGGCTGCCAAGATATAGGGATTATGAAATTTAAATTTGTGGCAAAAAAACTCGGTTACTTTTATCTCTTTATGAAAAATCTAAATATGTTTGAAATAAATTGGTATGAACTGTACTGTAGATGTGAGAGTGCTGATGAACTCGGAACACATCTGAACACCCAGATTTGTAAAGGGTGTGGTAGCCCCTCCCTCCTTCCAACCACGCCCCTTCAGATAGGTTCTGACTGGGTGTGTCAGAACTCTGAGTGCCTCTACAGGTTGGAAAAAGTTGAAATAGAATATATTTCTAAATATTTTTAAATATTTTCTATTTAGTATTCTGTATTTAAATTCCGAAGAGGTTGCGCTGCATACTGCAAACTCTAATACAACACATATTTTCGCAAGAATAAAACCACAATTCTCATGTTTTTTTTCTGCAAAAAAACACAAATTCTGATTTTATTGTCATTTTTTCTTTGCTACCTAATGCTGTAGACCTTGATATTTCAAACTAGGAATTCTGTTAGATCAAACAATCAAAGTGTGAAATATCAGGTTTCAAAGATATAGGAATTGGAAAATTTGAGTTTTTGGCAAAGACTCAATTCTTTTCTTCACCATTGTCTGCAACTAACCTAAAACAGGATAAAATGGCGCTTCGCGTTCTTATTTCTGACGTTTTATTGTTGATCTATCTGCAAGGCTTTTTTTTTCTTACATTAAAAAGGAATTGAATCTTTGCCATAAACAAAAAATTATAATCTCCATATCTTTGCCGCCTGATGGCGTAAATCTTTGATAATTCAAGCTTAGATTATTTGATCTATAACAGAGTTCATAGTTTGAAATATCTAAAGTCTAGGACACTGGGTTGTAACGTTATAGGGAATAGAAAGTGAGAGTTTGTGACAAAGACTCAATTCCTTTATAAACAAAAGAAGTTTTGGATTTTTCTGCCTCGTTTTTTGGTAAATTTTCAACAAAATTTTAAATGGAATCCTTTCTTATAAATAAACAGACAAGCCATATATATATTTCAGTTTTTAACTTCTAATTTCTTCAAAAAAGAATTGTACTAAACAAAATTTTTTCCGACTCACGTCGATCTTTAGTATTCAAATTATTTGCAATAATTGTCCTTAAAAAATCTTGTACTATCTAAATTTTATATATTTATAAACTATTGTGTGTCCAGGGAAAGTGAGAAAGATGCACTGAAAACTGCAACCGATCTTGTCGATCATATAAAAACGATCTCAAAGAGTGACAGGTTATCATATTTTCTCATATTTATTATTAGTTGATCTGGTTGGATATACTGGATATATTTCTATTTAGATATAATATCCAGCTCTAGTTGGATATATTGGATATATTTCTATTTAGATATTATATCCAGATCTGGTTGGATATACTGGATATATTTCTATTTAGATATAGTATACAAATCTGGTTGGATATATTGCATATAATTATATTTAGATATTATATCCAGCTCTGGTGGGATATACTTGATATATTTCTATTTAGATATATTATCCAGATCTGGTTGGATATATTGCATATAATTCTATTTAGATATTATATCCAGCTCTAGTTGGATATATTGGATATATTTCTATTTTGATAAAATATCCAGATCTGGTTGGATATATTGGATATGATTCTATTAAGATTTTATATCCAGATCTGTTTGGATATACTGGATATATTTCTATTTAGATATTATATCCAGCTCTGGTTGGATATATTGGATATATTTCTATTTAGATATAATATCTAGCTCTGGTTGGATATACTGGATATATTTCTATTTAGCTATAATATCCAGCTCTGGTTGGATATACTGGATATAATTCTATTTAGATATAATATCCAGCTCTGGTTGGATATATTGGATATATTTCTATTTAGATATTATATCCAGCTCTGGTTTGATATACTGGATATATTTCTATTTAGATAAAATATCCAGCTCTGGTTGGATATACTGGATATTTTTCTATTTAGATATAATATCTAGCTCTGGTTGGATATATTTCTATTTTGATATAATATCCAGCTCTGGTTGGATATATTGGATATATTTCTATTTAGATATTATATCCAGCTCTGGTTGGATATACTTGATATATTTCTATTTAGATATAATATCCAGCTCTGGTTGGATATACTGGATAAAGCCGAAAGTCAAGTACATCCTCAACATGAAGCAGTCATAGAGGTAGAAATATCAACTTCTCATTTAACCATTAATTTTCATTAATCATCATTGATTTTTATTGATTTTCATTAATTTTCATTAATTTTCATTTTCTTGTCATTTATTTTTTGCATTAGAAATAATAATCTTTTAACAATTTTTTTATATTTTAGTACAAAAAAGAATTGAAAATCTATTTAAAAGTATTAAATCGATCTTTTGATTTTCAATACCTATTTCAAAAGAATATTTTTAATGCTCTTTGATTTTATTCCACTGAATTCGGTTTAATATTTGAACAAATGTCGCCGACCATTTATCTATATAATATTCTGACGAGAGAAGAAATGAAACTAGATTTCAGCAGTGGGTTCTCTCATAGAATAAAAATCCTTTGAACTTCTCCACTACAAAGAATAAATCTGTTCTTTGTTAAAAATCCGTTTCTAACTTTGCTCCCTCAATCTTTTCTCCATCCTCCCTCCATCCTCCTTCCATCCTTCCACCATCCTCTTTCTCACGTCATCTAACCAGGTTTAAAATTGAGTTGTGGGGTTGGTAACATAGAGGAGTAAAATTATTTTTGAAAAGAACTCCTGAATAGATTTGTAAGTGGCTGCTCCCAATATTCTGCCGTGGACCAAACACTAGAACTCAGGACTATGCTCTGGACTTGCTCCGGAGAAAGATTGAACTTGCTAAACGACAAACCAGGGTTCTTAATGTAATAGAACCAGGGATCAGTAAGGTAACAAGAACATATGATAAAACCCTACAAATATATCTATCATACATCTATATATAAAGTTGTAATCTCTATTTGTCTATCTGTCTGCTTATTTGTACGATCATAACTCGGGAAACCCTGGACTGATTTTGACTCAAATTTTGGTTAGTGAACTTGGGAGAACCACGGGAATGTTCTTAGCTTGGTTTTGAAATTCTAATTTGAATGGGTCGACTTTAATAGTGAAATTTAGTTTCCCGGCAAAATCGTTCAAGTGAGGATACAGGCGGGAGTATGTTTTAGTAACCTTGGCAGCGCTGGGTTCCCAAGCTAGTATACAATATTAAGAATCTAAACTATGAAACCTTGGTTTAGAAAGATAACGTATGATGTAACTCTAAACTATGAAACCTTGGTTTAATAAGATAATATATTATGGAACTCTAAACTATAAAACCTTGGTTTAGTAAGATGATATATTATAGAACTCTAAACTATAAAACCTTGGTTAAATAAGATGATATATTATATAACTCTAAACTATAAAACCTTGGTTTAATAAGATAATATATGATGGAAATCTAAACTATAAAACCTTGGTTTAATAAGATAATATATTATAGAACTCTAAACTATAAAACCTTGGTTTAATACGATGATATATTTTATAACTCTAAACTATAAAACCTTGGTTTAGTAAGATTTGAATTTCCTGTACCTTTGATGTCGTTCACATTTGAAATGGACTCTTTAACTTTTAGACCCGAGCAAAAGCACTGTATGAGCTAATAGAAACTGAGATATATCTTCTGGTTTCGTATCCACAACTATTTGGAGAGTTTAAGAAGAACCCGGAGAACCTGGATATATCCATTCCATATCATCAGGGTTTAGTTGCGGACCGAATAGATGAATGGATGACGACATGTCAGGATATTTTGAGGATTTTTGACAGACTGGGATCCAATCCTGGATTCGAAACAATCCTATGCACAGCTTCAAAAAATATTCTAAAAAGGTTTATTTTATATTATAGTTATGAAAAGATATTAAAATTTGACAAGGTTATTTGTTAGGTGTTCATGTATGAGGACTGAGTTAAAAACTGGAATTGTTGGCAAGGAGTGGATTAAGTTTAAACTAGGTTGGAGTTTATTGGAACTTTGGAAATATGATGGTTAGATGGAAAATATAAATATTTTTAGAAAATGTGCTTTATTTAATTCAATAACTAACTGTAAGTTTTTATCAAAGTTTAAATTAAAAAATTTAATTGAAAAATGAATTAAGATTTAAAAAGGAAAATTGTTACAAAAATCATTATCGAGAGAAAAATAATATAGATCTATTAGTTTTCAGACCCCCCGAAATAATTTCCTAATTTTTTCATTTAATTTCTAATTAAATAACAAAACAGGTGCTATCTTATTATTTACTCAGATATACTCTATAATATAATCTATATGTTTGCTTAGAAGCAATATAAGATGAAGAAAAAGGAAAAAAAAGTTTTTTTTTTTAAACCGTGATAACCAGAATACAATGGAATATGAAGACGACATTATAACAATACTTAAGTGTATTTGTTCTTGTTACAAGGCAAATAGTTTTGCAAGGCAATTATTGAATCACTAATCAAGGGAAATGGGTCTGTTTATGCTGCACAATTGCTGTGCCTCATGCTCATTGAAAAGTTATAACTTGATTCTAAAATTCATCTTCTGGTTATCACGTAGTTTTCGGTAAACTTTGTTTTCTAGAAAATTATTTGAAGTGATTTAAATGGAATTGTTTAAGTATAATACTTAGAAAATTTCATTAGAACAGCCAATCAGAGAAGCCGGAAAATTTGAAATTTTTCGCACCATTTAATTAGGGAACTATCATTGGCCGGAAACTGGCAAGAAAATAAAAAGAAAGAAAAAGAAAGGATAAAGGTGGAAATTAAAAGTGTCCACATTGGATATTTAGATCAAGTGATTTTAGTTTTCAGCTCAGAACATCATATTATAAAATCCTAAGCGATATTTCTTAGGCAAACACAGACAACAGTCATTCCAAGGATTTGATGTTGGCCATATCTAGTTATTTTTACAAGACAATCTGGAATTTTCGAAATTGCAACCGTCATTCATAAATGACAACTGAGAAATGAGAAATGATATCTGACAAGCTTACTTAGAGAAATTGTAAAACTTTTGAGATTATGCTCTTGCAATATTGAAATGTTTCACAATATCGAAATAGGTTTAAAACGCAAGCTTGCCAGCATGTTTAAAAATTTACCAAAAAATTGAATTTCTCTGTATATAAAATAATCATGTACAGGGTGTCCCTAAAAAAAGGAGTGTTGAAAAATGTCCTAGATTTGAGCCTGCGTGTATATACCTTATTTTCTAATCAAAGTTTGTCAATTTATAAAGGTCCCTTAGAACCTTGGGCTTATGTAAGATACCACAATAATTTGTATTCCAATTGGTTCAGCCGTTTTGACTTTTATTGGATACAAAAAATGATCAACCAAATATGAATATAAATATACTAAAATCTAATTTGAATGAATGTATACAACTACATTATGTTAATTAGTTAGTTTTAATAACTGCTTATCATCGTTTGCATTCAGATCGTCATCCTCTTCTTCCTTCATTTACCTTTTCATATAATATGCTGGATAATGTTTTAGAAAACAAGAAGAATTGGGCGGATTCGTTTTTGAAATAAAGTATAAAAACTGAAAGGTTCTTTATTTAGAATTATTTATTTAAAATGCGTTAAGTGAAATACATATATATATATATATATATATATATATTTATAAATATATATATATATTCAATATTGCCTTTTGCGCATTTAAGGTCTGATTTAATGAACAGGGAAAAATAGATAAACCAGGAGAATTGCGGGAACAATTTGTTTAGTGTAGTCGAGTTTCTATACTAAAGAAGTATAGATCATCTGGCCAAACCTAGTTGAACTTCGTCTCAAATTTGATTGAATCCGAGCTAATATTTTAATTACGGCCAATTGATAAAATACATAGAAAAAACTTTGAGATGGGAACAGGGAGTAAGGAATAGAAGTGAGATATAACTGACGCGGTTCGCCCTACCATATGATTATACAATACATGCTTTGCAGATGGTACTTCGTTTGTGTAAGAAATATGCAGAATAGGTTATTGTATACGCGGTAATTTTACATCAGACAAATATTTCTTATTCAAATGAAGTACCGTCTGCAAAGCATGTATAATCATATGGTAGGGCGAACCGCGTCAGTTATATCTCCCTTCTATTCCTTGCTCCCTGGATGGGAAACTTTACTTTTAAACGTTTTTGTAAAGACGACATTTTAATTCTTGTCTTTCTTTTTCATGTTCTATTCTATTCTACCATGGATTAACATAAAGCAATCTCTGGGCCCGGGGTAGAGTGCGTAGCAAGGGCGTATACAGGGAGGGGGCAAAGGGGCAGTGCCCCCCTAGACCTGTAAAGAGGTGGGCGTAGCCCCCCCTAGAACTCATGCTATCACACATATAAATGAACGAAGAGCTTTATAATCTAGATTACAATTGTACTCCTACTTTTTTTGCACAACAGAATTTTTTACAAGTCATAGTTATTTTCTGGACCTTTGTCCTTTTTCATCTCATAAAATTTAAGTTTAAGTTGAGTTTTTCATTTTCAAAAATGTCTTTTACTACCTCTAGTTTAAATACTAATTATATTACTAACATAACAATAAAATAAATGTCTATTTTTAGAAACATGTTTATTTCTCCCAGTTACATCGTTTGAAGGAGAGATAAAGTAGTACTTGCAAGGTAATTGGACTGTATGTGTACCTTTAAAGTATCTTATACTTATGCCAGATATCCAAGAAGCCAAATGTTTTGAATGTACAGCTCAAATTTTGCCATCCCCCCCCCCCCTAGGAGCTCCAAGGGGCGGCTTTGGGCGTAGTGAATGATAGGAAATTTTTTTATTTTTTATTCATTTAGTAGGATGTTAATGGCCAAATCAGGGCCGCACCGTGATGCCATTTACTCGTTTTCTAATAACAATACAGAGATTTATTAACTGATTTCCTAAGTTATTAAAAAAGAAATATAATTTACCATTTTAAGCCAAAAACAAGTATTTAAATGGACTCCACAAGATCCAAATAGAATAAGACACAAAGTTTAGGTTAGGTTTTTTTTCTAATTCAGGTTTTTCTCGGCAATGAAAACATTTTTTCTATAATTAACTAAATCAAAAAATGCTCTTATTTTTGAAAATAAAGAAAAGAGTGAAAAATGCGCGTATGACTTCAAGAAAAAGAATCTAAAATTTTATGATATTTATTGACCTAAAAGTATATGCAACGAAGTTAAAAATGAAAATAAAAGCATTTCGTGGAGACAAAAAAGAATGAAAGAAAAAATTTCAAAACTCAACCGTTTTATTGGTCACACGTGTAGTATTCGTGATGCTTGGATCTTGTATACATCACTACAGTATCCATATATATCACAACAGTATCCATATATATCACTGCAGTATCCATATATATCACTACAGTATCCATATATATCACAACAGTTTCCATATATATCACTACAGTATCCATCACTACAGTATCCATATATATCACTACAGTTTCCATATATATCACTACAGTATCCATATATATCACTACAGTATCCATATATATCACAAAAGTATCCATATATATCACTACAGTATCCATATACATCACTACAGTTTCCATACATATCACTACAGTATCCATCACTACATTATCCATATATATCACTACAGTATCCATACATATCACTGCAGTATCCATATATATCACTACAGTATCCATACATATCACTATATTATGCAGTTGTATGGATCTCTAGTATAAATAGATACTATACAGAATTGGTTTAGAACCGAATATATATAGAGTCTAAATAGTTCTAGAGAATAAATGGAAGAATCTGTCACATATCGGCATCTCATTTATTTTTCCTAAAATTAAATTTGCAAAAACATTCTTCAGTATTTAAAGCAAACCAAGATAGTGCTCTCACACAATAAAAATCGAGCAGTATGTTGCCAATTACTCCTTTCAAACATAAGCTTCTTTAGAATTAATATGTCTAAGGCTACAAAAAAAATTAGTGAGTTGGTTATAGTTAAAACCAAATGCCAAGGTGTTGCGACAATTTGAAGTAAAAATGTCATGGGTAGGTTTCAGAATTGTCTATATCTCAGTGTTTGCTTGTTAAACTTGGTTTAACTAATTTGAATTAATTTTTTTACTATCAAGATATGGAACCCCAGTATATTCCCACATCAATATTGTCTACGTTGAATTGTGTTGTGTTCATAATGGTTTAGTTTTTATTTTACAGCAAAAAGTACTCTCCGATGAATCGTAAACATTTTTCCTGAACCTTATCTAGATTCTACATGTTATCCTAAAGTCGACAAAAAGAACAGATTCAACTGTAGATTGATTATTTTTATTTACCAAAGATATTCCATTTTTAAGAAATTGAGTTTTTGCCACAACCTTTGATTTTCTAATTCCCACATCTTTGTAAGGTGCTGTTGTAGACCTTTGCTAAAACTATTAGATCTTTTCCATGTGTCCAGTTGATAAAAAATGTTTCTATTTAGAAGAATATTAGATCTTTTTCCATGTGTCCAGTTGTTAAAAAATGTTTCTATTTAGAAGAATATTAGATCTTTTTCCATGTGTCCAGTTGATAAAAAAATGTTTCTATTTAGAAGAATATTAGATCCTTTTAAAAAATGTTTCTATTTAGAAGAATATTAGATCTTTTTCCATGTGTCCAGTTGTTAAAAAATGTTTCTATTTAGAAGAAGATTAGATCTTTTTCCATGTGTCCATTTGATAAAAAAAAAATTCTATAGAAATCACATTTTTCTAGTTTCATAAAATTATCTTTCGAAAAACCTTGTTTATCCACGGTGCTTTCATGTATCAGAAAAGCTGGGGTGTCAATTCACAAAATTTTATCATTTTAACACTTTCTTAAAAGTAATTTTATGTGGTAGTTTAGACTGCTTAGTTCCTTTAAAAATATATATTTACTAATCACGTACAGCAGCCACATCTGGTTGATTTATATCAGAGTGGTTTAGTATTCCATCTTGATATTGAGTTGTTTAGAAATTACAGTGAAGTTATTAAGGTTTGATTTGGTCCATTCAGGTACTAACAATATCAAGTAGATCTTTCGTTGTATACAATTTATTTCATGTCATATAAATGTAAAGAAATGTAACAATAACATAATAAATTTTCACAAAAAGATGAAGGGTCTACGTGGTTCAAGAACATTTTAAAGTCTCTACGGAGCGTTAATAGAGTTTAACAATTTCAATCATGAACCTTTCAATATTGCTGGACAAGAATGTAATTCAGGTTTCCAATTGAAATCCGGGAAATTTTATGAGAAAAAGTCCAAATACGTTTTTGACATGTTACATCTTACATGTTTTACATGTTTTAAAATCATTTCATAAAAATATACCAAAAAAGTTGTAGTGAGAAGCTCAATCTTTAATAACTTTAGATATTCCACCTACTTACCTACCAACCTACCTACCTACCTACCTACCTACCTACCTACATACATTACGTACCTACCTCCCTACCTCCCTACCTACCTACCTACCTACCTACCTACCTACCTACCTACCTACCTACCTACCTACCTACCTACCTACACCTACGTATCTACCTACCTATCCAAATACCTACCTAACATTTTAATTTTTAATGATTTTAAAAAAGGCAAAAACATAATATGTATAATTTGCGTGTAATTTCAAGTTGAGAACAATGTTGGGACTGAGTGTAAGAGAACGAAATTAAGAACATTTAAGGCAAGAATTTGGCAGAAAATAAACGTGAGGGAAGAATAATTGAATGCTGGGGAACAAGTTTTTACAGGAAAGGATTAAATCCGTATCTTTCTAGAAACTTAATATCCAGGTTCGTTCCAGGTTTGCTCTTGTTTTGCTCTAGGTATACTCTACGTAAACTCTAGGTACGCTCTAGGTATGCTCTAGGTATGCTCGTGAACTCATGAGAACATTTTTCTCTTTCTAGAATGAAGTTTATCACAATTATAACCATAATTATTTTATCATTGTTTTTTATCACGGGTTAGAACTGTCTGCTCTTTCTTGCAGAGTCTTCAAATCGTTTCAAGGCAATAAAATACTTTAAACGAGGAGTTATGACAGGGTTGAGTAAAGCACGTGTATCCAGAATAAATGAGTATGAGTATCCAGGACTACCATCTAGCTGATGATACTACAGGTCTTTGCTGTCCTAGGACCCTAGGACCTGAAGCTAGAACCTGCCTAAGCATGGTTTTACTGTCAACTCCGTTGGGAATATCTGCCAGGAAGTTAGAAGGAACCAAACCTCGAGATCCGTTTAGTTCTCCCATAAAGAAACCATCATCGTCCATATCTCCGTAGATAATTATAACATCTCCAGTTCGAAACGATAATTCCACCTCACTGTCCACATTCGGAGACAGTTCGCGGGGGTCGTAGTCGTACAGCGCCATCTTACGACGCAGCGGCATATCCTCATAGATGTCGCCCCAGCGGTCAGACGTCTTGTCGTTTCTAGCGGAATTAGCGGAACCAGCCTGCTCTCGAAATAGTTCTTCCGCTACACTTGCATCATCAACCTAAATTATAAAATTATAAATAAATTTAATGCTGTAGGCTTCGAGGGCACTCCATTCTCTAGTCACAGTTTTAGCTTCTAAATCTTGCTTTTCAATCCCCTATTTTTTGTTCAAACATTTTGAAACTAAAAATTTTGCGTATTTTTCGTTTAACATTAACGGGTTTCCATAATTCCTTGGGGTTTCGCTTTAGCTGTTTTAACGTTATGTCAAAAAATTAACACTAAGACAAGCAAAATCTATATGATATATACAATACATACACCGCTCAAGTTCTATTTATTTTAATTAGAAATTTCACAACGAAATTTGTAAATTGCAATTGTTCGAAATAACAAAAACCATAAGTATCCCAAGCTAAATTTGTAATAATAATGATAATAATGATGATAATGATAATAAAAAGCAGAGGAAGTATATTAGGGACGGAAGCATCTTGAAGCAGAAAGATAAATTGTTATTTTCCGGCTGAGTGAAGATGAAAACAATAAGATATCAATTATGAACACCAACTGCAGACTAATAATCTCGCTTCACATTTCAAAATAATATTTTCAAATATTAATTAAAGATATTTTTAAGAAGAACTATTTTGAAATTAATTCATTTTTCATTTTGAATTACTAAAGAATTTCTTATCACATTTTGTCACAAACTCTGAATTTCTCATCACTATATGTTTGCAAAACTCAATGTTGTAGAAGTTAGATATTTAAAACTATGTACTCTGTTAGATCATATATTTACAACATCAGGTTGCAGAGATATTGTGATTAGAAACTCAGAGTTTGTGGCAAAGATCTAGTTTCTCGCTAGATCGCCTATATTTTATAAAATCCAATGCTTATCTAAACATTAAAAGATTAAATGTTCTTTTCCTCCTACATTTCTAAAATTTTGTAAAATTTAAAATTAGTTGAAACAATAAAGAAAATGAACTTTTCTAACGAATATTTTACAAAAAACTTTTTATTTATTTATCAATGGGAAGGAAAAGCTGTATTTGACAAGATAAAGGGTTCCTTGGTAAATATTGTGGGAATTTCAACGCTTTATATTTCCAACGCTGTCCACCCTTAAAGAGAAAGTGTGCCATGCAATTTTAACACTAATGATTAGAGAAGAAAACGTTCATTAATTTTCTTGTTAATCCTTTATTACTGACAGTTTACTGTAATTATGTGAATTTAAAGGGAGTGTTCGCGAAAAATGAAAGGGGTATATGCTTACTGCGAAAAATAATCGCTTTAGATCGCTATTTGCTACTAATCTTACTTTTATCTGTTGATTTGTTTGAAATTAAATTGATTATTTTACGATACGAGTTGAATTTGTATGGACTCTACGTAAGATTAGTCGCAATCAAAGCGATTATTTTTCGCCGTAAGCCTATACCCCCTTTCATTTTTCACAAACACTGCCTTTACGGATAATTGTCTTTTCTTAGTTTTATTAGTGTCAAAATAGATAGATAAATAGATATATAGAAAAATGAATAGATATATGTTTAGATAAATAGATAAATATATAGATAGATAGATAAAGAGATAGATAGATGGATAGATAGATAGATAGATAGATAGATAGATAGATAGATAGATAGATAGATAGATAGATAGATAGATAGATAGATAGATAGATATATAAACAGCATAGACAGTAGACATATAAATATATATTTATGTTTTTATCTATCTATATTTAAGTATCTATATATTTATCTATAAATCTATCTCTCTATTTATCTATTTATCTACTTATCTATTTCTCTATTCAATCTATTTATCTACCTATTTATCTATTTATCTATCTATTTATTTATACTTCCTCTAATGGTATTTACTCTGCTTGAATTTAAGTCTGAGTATTGACCACCGCCACATCCAACTTTCACCAAGAGATGAATTTTGTTGAATTCCTTCTTGACTCTATACTTTACAAAAACAGGTTTTATCACATTGTAAGGGATCAAGTTTTGTAATTCCAATCTAATAATCATTTGCGCATTTGTGGGTAGGAGGCACAACCAGTGTGTCCATTTTTCCTCTTCATCAAATATCATTCTACAAAATGAAAATCCTTTAGAATTTTTTGCATGTTGCGAAATGTTTTTACGTCAATAAATTTTGATCTGAACCCCTCAACAACAACAATACCCCCCCCCCCCCAGAACATTCATGTTTCCACTCTCTCTCCTTCCTTCTCATTCAATCCTCACTCACATGTTCCCGCACTCAATCCTTCCCAATCAACAAATATATTCCCATCATTCTATCCGCCTTCAACCCTAACTCAATCCTTCCCAATTAACAAATATATTCCCATCCTTCTATCCGCCTTCAACCCTGACTCAATCCTTCCCAATCAACAAATATATTCCCATCCTTCTATCCGCCTTCAACCCTGACTCAATCCTTCCCAATCAACAAAGTGAATAAACCTGATGAATATAATATTTTAGAAGTTTTCATTCTTCTTGTTGTTAAAATAGATCGCGGTTTCTAACAACTCGGATTTTCCACAAACTTTACATTCTGTTTTTTAAATAACCTCGCACAGTAGTTTCTAAATTATATATGCTTTTTGAAAGTTTCTGTAGGCAGAGTTAGAAAGAGTTTAGAATAAAAGTAGTTTCGTAAAACTTGCCTGAACCTCTGACACCATGTTGCAAGGAACAAATCCTGATTTCCCTCCCGCCTCTCCCCAATAGAATCCATCTCCATCCTTCTCTCCGACAACCTTGATGAGCTGTCCCTCTCGGAACGGTAACTCTTCGTCGCAAGCGTCCGGGTTCGGCGACATAGTTGGTGGATCGTAGTCGAACAAAGCGACAAAAATACGCATTCTTTCGTTCCTGTTCGACTGGTTAGCGTTGTACTCAACATTAGCGTTCTTTTGTTCAGTTCTATTGTTCTTGTTATCGACCACAACAAGGTTCGTTAAACTTCTCTTCTCCTCAGCTTGGTTTGGTTTGGGTTGACTAGAGTTCTTTGCCTGGGAATCTTTCCACACATTAGTGTTCACATTGCTTGTATAGGAGTTGTTATTGTTATGGTTCTGTGCCTGAACAACCAGAGATTTATTTATGGTGACCCGGCTCTCACGGGTCTCCCTGATATCCTCTGTATCTGTGAGATCATCCTCAGGTTCCTCCGCTATATCGGAGAGCTCACTAGGTCCTATATCTGAATCTAGATCCGGATATGCACCATAGTTGATGATCAGCTCTCTAGGACGGATGGGTCCGTTGAGAACAGGACGGCTTGCAATCTTCTCCATTAGCTCTGTGTCAGAGTCGGAATCAGGATCAGGGATGAATGTTTCTTTGATAGGAGTAGGTTTGAATAAGAGATTAGTTGGTATGGGACAAGATGAACTTTCGATGGATAATTTGTCATTTGATTTTGTTCTAACACTGATTGATTTTACAGGAGTTTTGGCAATGTTTATAACCGCACTGTCCGCCATAGGTTCATCAATATCCTTTATCTTCTTCCCGTCTCCGTATACTACATAACCAGTGACAGGAGCTCCGTTGGATAAACCATACGGAGTAATGGTAACAGGTAACCACATGATCACGATACTACCGGAATCCGGACCTGAATCAACTTGAACATCAAGAGGGGGATCAGGGAGACCCTGGGGTAGGGTTCGGATCTCAATATGACTTGAGAGTGAACCTGGAATATTTCTCTCCGTGTTGTAAGATTCCGCTTTTATATTCTTAGCTTTTACAGTTACCCTGTACACTGTATTTGGAGTAAGTCCTGCAATAGTGTGTTTAAAAACACCAGGTTTCAAGGTTCTCACCTCTAGACTGTTTAAACACAGGACATGGAGATAATTAGAATTTGACGGAAGCCAACTAATTGTGGCAGAGCTGGTTCGGATCCTGGTGGCTCTAAGAGCTGTCGGAGCTAAAGGAGAATCCTTACCAACCAACATAGTACAACCCGCCTCACTAGACGACTTTTTATTCTTCCCGATACATTTCACGGAGATTCGGTTGATTTGATTCGGTTCGCAGCCGGGCACTGTAGATTTCAATGTTTTCTCTCCAGCTCTGACAGTGCTCATGATTTCTCCATCAAGGAGAACCTGATAGCAATCAATCAATCCAACCCGACAGTCTGGAGCAGTCCAACCAACCAGTAAGGATTTGTTTAGCTGGGTTTCAAGAGTGAGATGTTTTGGTGGAGGAACGTATTCTGTGGATGGGGTTTCTCCTTCATCTTCTGTCATGTCTAGATCAGTACAGGATGCATAATGACTCAGGGTCGCCTTTCTTGAAGTAAAATATTTCTGGGTTTCCTCAATACCCTCGTCGGAACTGATAAAATCAAGGTCCTGTGCTATTGAAGTGCACACAGAGTCATTCCCGTCTCCTATCCCTAATACAACTGATTGATAAAACTCAATAAGTTCGTCACCCTCTAATCTCTCTACGAAGTTTGACGGAACCAAACCCTTCCTTCCATCCAGGATTTCACCGTCGAAAAATCCGTCCTCATCAGGGTCACTCCAGACAAGGATATAATCTCCGGCATTGATCGCCAACTCCGACTCCGGGGTATCATTGGGAGAATGATTGAAGGGATCATAGGAGTATCTTGCAAGATAAACCCAACACCAACCCTTTCCAGGGATCTCAACCATACCATCGTTATCGATAATAACTTCTCTGGATGTAAGACTAAGTGCTCCAGGTAGGCTATTCAGCGCAGAAGCGGAGAAAGACCCGCTGAGAAGATTTATCTTGTCTGCTCCACTTAACCGAGGTAATTCTAAGGTTGAGCGGTTTAGAGAAACAGTTCTTTCACGTGTTATAGGACTAGTAGAGTTTCCATTCAAGCTTGACTGTGACAAGAAACCTGAATCTGTGATTGCTGATCCAGCTCTGTGAGGAGGACTGTCTCCTTTACTTGCAGCTCTCTGCTTCTCCAGGTCAGCCAGAAATTTATTATCCTGTTCTAGTTTAGCCATGATTTCATCAATCTCGATATTATCCGAGGGATTCTCAATCTCTGCTGGCAGAGAAGTTTCGTTCCCATACCGTTTAATTTCAGCCATCTCCAGTATTAACTCCTGATGCTTCTCATTCTGTATTTTACGGTCTATTTCTAAATCTGCGATTTTAACTTTTAATTGATCGATGATCTCCGCCTGTTTCTTGGTTGCCACTGTCTCCACCTCCTCCTGCTTCTTCTTAAGGTTCTCCAGGGCCTCCTTGTGCTGCCGTTCTATCTCCCTCCTATTCTCCGCTGCTCTGTGCATCTCCTCAAGAACACACTCCAGGTTCCGAACCTTGCCGCTCAGGGACTTCACCTCGGACTTGGCGGTCACACACTCCGTCTCCATCTGGTTGAGGGAGTTCTTGAGGTGCTCAACCTCGTCGGAGACATGGTGGAGCTCTACAACTTTCTTCTGGAGGTCGGAGTTCTGGATGGTCAGCTCTGTGTTCTTCTCTATGACCTTGGCAAGCTGTGACTCTAGGTCCTCGACAAGGGAGGATTTGTATTTGAGTGTGTTCATCAGCTCCTTACACGCTTCTTCTTTCTCCCTGAAATAATCAAACTTTAATAAAACTCATTAAACAACTAGAATTTTCTAAATTTCATTCTATGAATTTATTTAGGTCAAGGATTTGAATTTTCATAAAAACAACAAACAGAGCTTAAAACTTAAGAATTTGAAACCCTGAATTTCGTTCGTTTAATCTGAATATCCACTGTGGAAACTTATGATATTCTTAATCCTCCCTTTTTGTACACTCTGATTGCTAGAATTTTAAGCAGTTTAGTGGATTGAGATTGTGCTAATCTGAAGATTAACAAAAAGAGGAGATCAAGCCTTTATCTCGATATCCACAATTCTAAAGTTTTCAGCTCAGGTAAAAGAGCTTCATTTTTTACTCGAGTTGGATCTAAAAGAAACCATTAAAAAAGAAATTAATTCATTAATAATCACGTGAAAACTAAAATTGACGCTTTTGATTGCATATTTTTTTATTTTAAAAAGGTTCTTATTAAACACACTTCACCATTTACAAGAACTGATTACTTTATCATACTCTAATTTTCTCTTTTTATATCTTTGCAGCCAGGTGTCGATTAGATATTACAAACTATAAACACTTCCAGATCAAACATTAAAAATTCAGGGCTTAACACCATCATCCTGCAAAGATACAAGGATTTTTAAACTAGAGTTCGGTGCAAGAATTACAACTCTCTTCCCACTGCCCTGTTATGAATAACACCAGTTGATTATTATTTCTAAAAAATACTTTATCGGCATTTATTGGTAGCATCTTTATTAATGAGAGAACCAATCAGTTTCTTTCATTATTTTTATTTCTGTATTTCTGATAATCTTTAAAGGGACTGATGAACCAATTTCAAGTGAACCTTTGTTAATAGATTGCCATGTCAGAGTCACAGAATACCCTTTCAACTTGTGTCGGATCAAAGTTAAATTAAGTCTCTATAAAAATAATTTGCGGATTTCAGGATAAGAAAAAAACAAGTAAATGTCAGAAGTTACACATTACCAGAGAGAAACTCAAGGATATTTTCCTTATTATTGTCAAGATATTGCCATGCCGCTACTCAAAAATGGAGTTTTACTTCCAAGACAGTCTCTTTAATAAGCTGCATTACATTCTACTAGTTTAACTTTTTTAAGTTCATTAGTTTCTTTGACAACTTTTAAGAAATACCATCAATGTAAAAAAGTTGATTAATTTCTCTAATAGATTTTCAGGATTAAGAAAAAATAATGCTTGATAAAAAGTTCACTTTAGAAATTCTTACACCTTCCTTTTCGCCATCACAATTATTTTTCTAACATTTCCATTAGTATAAACAGTACAGTTATTTTTCGATTTAATTAAGAAGCAACGTTGGTTCCAGTCTAGAAATTGTTATCATTTTCAGAGCTAAGTGAGAATTGAGAACAATTAACTAATTGCAAGTTTAGAACCTTTCTCCGGTTCTTTGTTGCGGAAATTAATTGCACAAAAAATGAATGTGAGTTTATTATCCAACACTTTTCAGAGAGTTAATTACCATTTCCGAATAATAATCATTTTAGATATTTTGTTTCAGAGAGTTAATTAACATTTCCGAATAATATTACATCATTTTATATATTTTGTTTCAGAGAGTTAATTACCATTTCCGAATAATATTACATCATTTTATATATTTTGTTTCAGAGAGTTAATTACCATTTCCGAATAATATTACATCATTTTATATATTTTGTTTCAGAGAGTTAATTAACATTTCCGAATAATATTACATCATTTTATATATTTTGTTTCAGAGAGTTAATTACCATTTCCGAATAATAATCATTTTAGATATTTTGTTTCGTACTTTGAACTAAAAGATAAATACTCTGAATTAATCAAAATAGAGCTCTAAAAATCAATCCAAATAAATAAAAGTTTTATAATTTAAAATGTTGGGGTTACCGAAGACACTAGTAAACATGAATTCCTTGCAAAACTTGAATGAATGTAAATATACTTTTAAACATCAAAAGTCTAATCCGAACTAAAGCATTTGAAATATTTCGAGTATACACTTTGAAAACTAGTAGATATATCATATTTATTATTTTGAGTTGCTGGGTTGGAAAACTTCAAACAAACAAATATTCGAAAAATTTCTCTAGATCAGTATCTCATCTCATAAGACAAGGGTATTTTAAAAAATGTTCAGAGCTTGACGATTAAATTTGAATAAAATGTTTCCGATCCTGGGGATAAACGTGAAATCTGGATAAACGAAACTAAATAAACATGACAGGGGTTGGATTGGGTGCCAGCTCCGGGTCCAAATAGGACTGGGAGAAAGATTATAGATCGTCAATATACAAAGGATCACAAGCTAAACGTGTCTGCTGAATACAAAACAAGGTTTGAATAAATTCAGTCTATCCCAGAATAAAGGTTTTACATTTAGAGAAAATTACATTTTGACTATTCAAATATTTAAAATTTAAAGTAAAGGCATTTTTCTTTTAATTGGGATAATCCCATTCAGCTTAAGGATTATATCGACAGAAATAAAAATTTCAAAAATAATTGTGTTTGTTGAATTCAAATTCACAAAAATAATTGTGTTCCTTGACTTCAAATTCACAAAAATAATTGTCTTTGTTAACTTCAAATCCACAAAAATATTTGTCTTTGTTAACTTCAAATTCACAAATATAATTGTGTTTGTTGACTTCAAATTCACAAAAATAATTGTATTTTGTTAACTTCAAATTCACAAATATAATTGTGTTTGTTGATTTCAAATTCACAAAAATAATTGTGTTTATTAACTTCAAATTTCCAAAAATAATTGTGTTTGTTGACTTCAAATTCACAAAAATAATTATGTTTGTTGACTTCAAATTCACAAAAATATTTGTCTTTGTTGACTTTAAATTCACAAATATAATTGTGTTTGTTAACTTCAAATTCACAAAAATAATTGTGTTTGTTGACTTCGAATTCACAAAAATTATTGTGTTCGTTGACTTGGAATTCACAAAATAACTCCACATCCACATCCGAAAACCGTGTTTCATTTTTTTAAGGTTAATGATATTGTAAAGTAAACTTTAACATAATACAGTTTTGAAATCTTGAAGTTTTGTTTATTTTTTTTAAACTAACTGTGACACTCTAATTGACACAAAATATTTTTAGTGTCTGAAAGTTTTATCATCAACAAAGAATCAGCCAACGTGTCTCACGAAATATCCAGTGTTCACAGTCACTTAAGTGCTTGAAAGATGAATTGTGAAAATAATTTCTAAAAAGGTTGAACCCACGTTAACCTAAGGAAAAGAGCATGACAACATTAAGTTCTAAATCAAGGAGTGTCACAGCGTAGGTTTCAATATTTAGGTTTAAAAACAGGTGTGCAGTGTGCATGCTTTGAGAATATAGTTTAGATAGTGGTAGAGTTTAGCTTCAGATTTGGTATAATAATATTGTATCGAGTCTGAAAGGCTGTGGTTTCATTCTGTTGTGAGAGTTGGCTTTAAAATGATTTTGATTGAACACATTTCAAATGAGAGTTGAGTATGGTAGGATATGCTTGGTTATTTCAGGAAATGAAACCATGGTAGATATGTGATTATGTAGATAGGTAGATAGATAGATAAGATGTTAGTAAAATAGGTTTGGGTTTTATATAATCTGTAGTGCCCGTTTTGTAGTATCCGCGCACTCAACAGGTCAAGGTTTTGTATTCTGAGCGAAACCAGCTGTTTGTAGGACCCAGAGCATAGTTTTCCTGTCTACTGTCCTGTTAGGGAGACCTGGGGCATGATTTCCCTCTCTTCTGTAATATTTCTTATCCATTAATAAGCTTTAAAAGAATTTTAATCTGATAGTTTACCATTTTTTAATCCACTTTCTTTTTTCCATTAAAATCATAAATCCGTCCTCTTTATCTGTCTTGTATCTTGTAATAATCATATCTCTTTCCGTTTTCTACCTTCCATGGATTATATCTCTATCCGTCTTCTCCTTTAAAAGATGATATCTCTAACCGTCTTCTCCCTATTATAGATAATATCTCTATCCGTCCTCTCCTTTCATGGATAATATCTCTATTAGTCCTCTCCTTTCATGGATTATATCTCTATTAGTCCTCTCCTTTCATGGATAATATCTCTATTCGTCCTCTCCTTTCATGGATTATATCTCTATCCGTCCTCTCCTTTCATGGATAATATCTCGATTAGTCCTCTCCTTTCATGGATTATATCTCTATTAGTCCTCTCCTTTCATGGATTATATCTCTATCCGTCCTCTACCTTTAAAAGATAATATCTCTATCCGTCTTCTCCCTTCTATAGATACTATCTCTATCCGTCCTGTCCCTTCCATGGATAATATCTCTTTCCGTCCTCTCCTTACATGGATAATATCTCTATCCGTCCTCTCCCTTCCATGGATAATATCTCTATCCTTCCTCTCCCTTCCATGGATAATATCTCTATCCGTCCTCTCCCTTTCATGGATAATATCTCTATCCGTCCTCTCCTTTCATGGATAATATCTCTATTAGTCCTCTCCTTTCATGGATTATATCTCTATTAGTCCTCTCCTTTCATGGATAATATCTCTATTCGTCCTCTCCTTTCATGGATTATATCTCTATCCGTCCTCTCCTTTCATGGATAATATCTCGATTAGTCCTCTCCTTTCATGGATTATATCTCTATTAGTCCTCTCCTTTCATGGATTATATCTCTATCCGTCCTCTACCTTTAAAAGATAATATCTCTATCCGTCTTCTCCCTTCTATAGATACTATCTCTATCCGTCCTGTCCCTTCCATGGATAATATCTCTTTCCGTCCTCTCCTTCTATAGATGATATCTCTATCCGTCCTATCCCTTCCATGGATATTATCTCTATCCGTCCTCTCCTTACATGGATAATATCTCTATCCGTCCTCTCCCTTCCATGGATAATATCTCTATCCGTCTTCTCCTTTAAAAGATGATATCTCTAACCGTCTTCTCCCTATTATAGATAATATCTCT